ACATTTTAGACCAAGTGAGAAGGCCTTCTATCACCCAACTGAATCGTGCAACACTGCTTGATTTAACTCTCTCGAATTCTTCATAAATAGAAATAATTTTTTTTTAAAGATTTTTATTTGGTCCGTCGCCGGTGGATTCAAAATTATTTCACGAGCATTGCAGTACCTTTGATTCTAAAGCGAGCGATCGCTGTATAAATTGAGTTTAATCGGCAGTAATGACTCAATTTAAAACTGCGCATCCAACTGAATAACCTAACGATGGGTCCGGCGACAAAAAGTGGTGGTTTAACTGCCACTGGCGCCATTGTGAGCAGCATCGTTGTCAACCAATTTAGACTAATCAAATATGCACAGTAATAATATGTAGAAAATATGAATATGTATATAGTGACATTTCTGATACTTGAAATCAGGAGAAACTGGCAGATCAAATGCAGCAGACGATAATATCCGCTAAATATGACAGAAATAGTTTTGACTCACCGGAATGCGGCACACGCTTGAAATCACAGTTTAATGTCTTACTTGGCATCTCATCACACTGAATACTTACTGGTGCTCAGAATTTGACATATAAACCCATATTGGTGCAACATTGAAGGTTGCTATTCGTAATAAATACGGGTTACCGATTATGGTAGTATAATTTTTTGAGACAGATCGTTAAATAATTATAACAATTGAATAGAATATTATTGTTTTTGGTTGCTATGGGTTACCAGACTGGCAGAGTTGAGTTGTAGTAGGCAAGTTGCCACATATCTATAATGTATATTATAATTTTGTTTAATAATTGTACTTTTTAAAAACACTTACGTAAATATGTAAAATAAATAACATCTTTTTAACTAATTCTAGATCATCGTATGTCTGATTTTTTTCGCCAACACAGATACATTTCCGAATCCAAAGGTAGTAACTATTCTTAATATATTTTTGAGCATTTTATTATTATTTTCTTATTCCGAATATATTCTATACATTATATAATGAAAGTTTTTTTGGGGGGCGCCAGTTATGCTTGCTACGCCACTGAGTAAGAGCCGCATCTAGAATTTCTAAAAGCCACAAGTTTATATTTACATAATTATAGAAGTAGTGGAGGAGGTTTTAAATAGAAAGGAATCCCTGATAACTTTATAAAAAGAGTATAAACTAATTAATTACTTCCTTTTGGACACTGAATAGTTTTAGTTTAAGATATTTCATACATATATTTTATATGCATGAGCCGCACAAATTGCCTGCGAGAGCCGCTCTTTGGCCACCCCTGTCGCAGTTATGTCAAAATTCGAAAACTATTTATTCTCTTCAATAAGGGGTAGGGTCTGTGACCCAGGCACCCTGGCGAAATGAAATAATTTCGAAATGCTTATGTTTCACTTCTTGCTCAGAAACTTGAGCATCCCACCGTTTACATCAGAAACAGGAACAAATTATAATCCATGAGCCTATTCACCAATTCAAAAGATAATTATATTTGTCAATGAATCACCAAAATTATTTCTTCAAAAATGCCAATTCACATTTAAAATGGCAGTCGTAAAAACAGAAAATTTTCAGATGATCAAACTTAAGGACCTCCTGGCGATTTTGGCTGAAAGTAAGACTTTTAAGGACTGGAAACAGATTCCAAAAAAACTAAGGACTTTTGACTCTTAACGGCCGTTTACACTGGGACATATTGGACCATCCGACGAGCTAGAAAAAATCAGGTTTTTGTCCGAACTTCACACAAAACAGAGCTAGTCGGCACATGGAACCGACCAATCACAAAAGAGAATATTTGAAAATCATCATCAACAGCAGCATACTAAGTTAAAATAAATAAACGTGGCTGACGATTTGGATGAAGACTGCAATCTGATTGCCGAAATTCATCGGCATCCCATTATGAGACAGGCGAATGAAAGATTACAAAAACAAAGTCAAGAAAGAATGCACATGGATGATGATTGCACATTCTTCATAGTATAAAATAGTAATTCTATTTAGTACCATTTTTGTGTTTACATTTTGAATTCGGAAAATTAATTGAATTACCGATATCAGAAGTCTCAAATAATATATTCAATTCTATTATAAAATTTGCTATGGAATTTAAAGCTAAGCATACACAATCGTATTAATTTAAGGTTTTCTTTCTTCTAAACTTTTCTCATCATAAAAAGAACGATAATGTTTATTAACTCACAAAACAAAATAATCACATCAACATTATAAACTGTAAAGCACTTGCTAATCTTTTGGAATAAAAATACTGATAGTCTAACATGTTCTTATTTTACTATGATTTTCCCAAATAATTTTTTGAATTATTGATATCAAAGATCTCGGATAATATATTTAATCGCATAATATAATTTCCTATGGAATTTAGAGTAGTGAAAGCATAGATAAATGCATTAATGTAATACCTTTTCTGATCATAAAATGAATGATACTGTTTATTAACTCATACAGGGTTCATACACATGGAATTTAAGTACTTTAAGGGCCATTAATGAAAAAAAATTAAGGACCTATGGACAAATGGAGACTAAATAAATTCAATTAAAAATATTATCTATGACTAAATTTCACTTTTGTAATACCATCCTAAAAATAAAATAGATCCCTAGGTAGTATGAATTACTAAACATGAATAAATTAACATAATTATTAATAAGTTTGAGAATAAAATAAACTTTATGCAGTTTATCAAGTACTAGCATGAAATATTTGAAAGGAGATAAGTGACATTTACATTTTACTAACAGTTAGCTTTATGTTAATTTTTTTTGGTCTTATACTTGGCCAGTCTAGAGGTTTAGTAAATAGCAGGTAGATTTTATGTTAAATGGCATAGGTTAAAATGAGAAGTAAGATCATAATTAGCATGATTCATAACCAAAACACTGAATGTTGTCACTGCTGCTGCTTGTCTGGAGAGGGACCTGCTGATTAGAACTTGAAGTAGGCACAGTTGGCAAGTATTAAAAGTTAGTCAGGCTCTGTTTGATACAGTTAACTTCGTGTACAGTTTTAGGGGGGGGTTGTAACTCTGTTAATATACTTTAAGGTTCCAATGAGCCATTAAAGCACCAGAGATGATAAGTTGTTTTGTATTCTTTTAAGTCTCACTAGATGGAAAGAATGTTTTATCTTGTGACCACAGTGAGTACTAATGAAAAGCAATAACTTTCTTTAATATGTAGAGATAATTTTTAAGGGAACACAGTTAGTTATAAATAATTAAATTAAGTAGTTCGATAATCTTAGTCATTATGGATTTACATTGCCACTATTAAATTTGATTTTTTAACAATATTTGTTAAAAAAGCCCTATTAAAATCAAAATCTAATAAAATTTTAGTTTAAAATACATGCAATTTATGACACTAATTCTTAAACAATATTAGAATAATTACACATTAGCTACAAAACATTTGTTTTGTAACAACATTCAACAAAATATTTATCCATCAATTTAATTTGAAGCCTTTTGGCTTTAACCAACCATTTTGGCTAGTTTATATCTATTTCCTTCTCTATAAGCATCTTTTCTTCTAACAATTAGAGATTTGTCTCAATATCCAAACCAATACTCTTGACAGTTTCTGTGTGCTGTTTCTGTCGCTGAAAATTCACAGTACCACACAAAGATCCAAGGCGAAATATCGTCAGCTACGAAATGTAAACAAACTAAAGTGTGCATGATTTTCTGCTCGCTTATTGGCTGTTACTAGTGGACACTTCTAGTAAGTGTGAACAAGCTAGGTTAGATAGATCCGTGCTCCATACACCAGTTACCTCCGCTACAGCCATTAAGTGTGAACAGTAAATATTTTCATATTTATACGATTTGAATCATTAAACTAAAAGAGTTTGATGAATTTTTAGATGGAGTATAAAAAGGCTCTTCAACCTCACAACACCTATTTTCAGCTACTGACCGAATATTTGAAACCTAAGAAGGACTGAAATCTTATTTTACTCCAAAGAACACTGTCCAGTAATGATAAACAAGGGAAAGTAGAAAAGTGAGTACAACCAATACTCTCAGTGAAAATGCAAAATTAAAACCAACTGATAATTTGATCATGCATCTTTCCTACAATAAGCTATGGAAACAGTTTTGGTGCAGTAGAATCTTTTATTTGGATAAACGAATTTACGTTGTCCAAAATTGAAGCTTAAAATATTAATGAAACTGTCACAAATACTAAAAATAACATTTTTGATGAAGTAGACTACAAAAGCTTTTTATAGCCTTCTTAGTATGAAATTTAGAAGGGGGTATTGAAGGAAAATGGATATCATTTTTTAGTCATTAGCCCCTTCCAAAAACGTCATGGGCCATTCTTGTTCAAATAGTAGAATTATTTTCAACACAGGGAGCTAGCTAAAATGAGTATTCTCAGAAAGGAATATCGTATGGTCTGAAAAAAGAGGTAAAATGGATAAATCAGTCATTAAAGCTTTCCTAATCAACATAATTTTTTTGATGAAACAAATAAATTTGAAAAATAACAAAGAATTTAAATAGAAAACTCACACTACTGGTAACTATTTTATAATAAGGTACGGTCTAGTTACTAATTTTTTTTTTCCTTGTCATTCTTTATTGAGCCTTTTACACCATACATTTTACCTTAGTACGTTTCATTTTATACTTTATTTTCTTCTGGTTTAAGGAGGGTGGGAATTATGATGTGACTATAACAGTAATGAAAAATTATGAATGTTATTTTTATTAAATGTTTTCACCATATATTAGAAGAAATGTGTAATATGTTTATGTACAAATGTGAAATGAAAATACAAAAGAATAATAACCACATTTTTATTTTTAATTGGAAAAAAAAAAAAAAAAAAAAAAAAATGAAATAAAGAAAAAGTGTCAGCTGGATGAATAAAGTATAAGAAATACATATTATGAGCTCTAATACATACATAATGTACTTTTAACCATAACCTTAAATAAAAGGAAATGTAACCATGCTACATTATAAAAATGAGCATATTTTACCAGTTTTAATAAAGAAAAAACTTATGTACACTTAAAAAAGTCTATTACAGATTAAATTAAAATTTTTTTTGCTCTATGAAAACACCAAATATGAGCAAATGAATCAGTTCCATGGATGTGTAAATGGTACAATAGGCAAGACATGATAACCACGACTACCACATAGTTAAAAATCTTTTCTTGCATAGTGTTTCATATATTCAAAAATGAATTAGAATCCTGGATAAGTGGTTGCACTCATCATATTCATTCCCTGGCCAACTGATGACTGATAACTACTATCACCAAATAATTTTCCAGAACCATAAAATTCGGACTCATTAGCACGAGAATCAGCACCTAAAAAACACATTTTTTATAAAGACACTTTTATTCTTTAAAAATTAATTAATTCAACTCATTAATAATCAAGTACGATAACTTTGTAACACAGAATAAAACAAAAAGATTATTATAAAAAGCAGCAGCTGTAATCCATTGAAGTTATGCAACACGGAAAAAACATTTGGCATTAGCATCTTAGCTGGAGACAACTGATATGCCACTAAACAAATACAAATATTTCTGATGAATTGAAAGCCATCAACTTAATAATCCTGTTATTAAAAGAGTCAGAATTATTTAATTGGTTAAGTAAGAAAAGTTTGGATCAAAGCAAAGTGTCAAGTTAAATTTTGAAGATAAAATGCAGTTCTTTTATTAATAATTTAATGATAAGCCAACTTATATTGACTAATGTAACTTCACAAGAATATTAATAATGTATTTTGAGACTTTGAAAACTTATAAATTTAGCACTTAATTTGCCACCTCAATAGGCAATGTATTACAAATTTTGAGAAAATGCGGTGCTACAGAGTAAGTTGTCATTTTATGCAATGCATTGCTCAAATTAAATGTAAATTTAACTGGCATTTTTGTGAGAATACTCTATATATGGTGTACTAAGGTTCCTTTTTCCAGGTAGAAAGCCTGTTTAACAAGTTTAGAATCATTTCTAATGATTTCTTATGCTTCTGAACAGTAAAAAAAAAAAAAAAAAGAGATAGAAGAAAGAATTTTTAGGATCATAAACAGACAATACAACACAGTAATAAAATCTTTCCCTTGGTTTTATATAAATCTGACTATTCTAGATAAGCTGGTATAGATTTAATAAAGAAGGATATAAGTTAGCTGCCATTTATCTATTCCCCCCCCCCCACATTCTGAAAATAAATCAAAGATGCGGGATCTTGGTATCAAGAAAAGTACGAGTTAACGGACACGATATGCTGCTTTATCTGAAAACTGATAATAATGGTGATGCAACGCGAAATATTATGATTAGTGATTCAAGTTTTTTCATACATTAGAGAACAGAATTTATTGATTACCCAACTAATAAAGAGTGGTCTGTTCCTTAAAATTTCTGCTGTTTATGGTTGGCCATACCTGCCAACCTCTAAAGATAAAAATTCAGAAGATTTCTCCCCCAAATTCAGAAGAACACGAAGAATTAATATCATGTTTTGATATTAAAAATAACAATTTATACAAATAGAAAAAAGAAAATTGTACTTACATTAGTAAATCTCAATTAAGTAGTAACTAAAAAATTTATTAGGAAACATAAAACAAGAACTTAATGTTACACAAAAAAAATTATTGCAATGAATTTAGAGTGCATTTTTTGGCTTTAGCCAAAAATTCTTTGGAAAATTTCCTGTCATAACAATTAGTTTCCTCATAACATTTAGCAATTAAAATGTTTTCTAGAGTTTTTGGTGAAATTGAAGAACGAAACATAGTTTTGTTTTTCTTCACAACACTGAAGACTCTCTCGCACTCAGCATTACTGTGTGGAATTACGAGAATAGCACATAAAACTCTTGCTAGTCTATCATATTTTGGTGTTCCATCAGCTCTTTTTTATTCTTTTTAAGGTACGAACGAGGACATCAAGTCTATCTTCTCCAGAACTAGCAAAGTCTTCAAACTGTGCAGCAGAAAATTGGTTCTGTAGTTCATCTAAAGCATCATTATGGCATTCATTTTCTTTAATTGTTAACAAAAATGGAAATTTATCAATAAAAAAACCGAATCTTTTCAAAACATGAATTTTCAATTTGTTTCAAATTTGCCACTTCAGCATTTAAAAGATGTTAAGTTGTTTCAACTCATTAATTACCAAGGAGGCAATATTTTCCCCCGTAGCGCCTCCATTTAACAATGGAAGATGCAAAAGATGAGTTTTCATTTCATTAGAAACATCACAGAAATATGTGACAACGATGGGGTAAAGCTTCCAATCGCTGTCGTTGCTGCCATTGATTGACACCGAAAATGCTGAACTCTGGAGTGCAGTTATCGTTTTACTTTGTGCATTGCAAGCAATTCCGTTCACAATAGAAGATGTTTTCGTACGAGCACAAGCATATTTCTGAGCAATCTTAGAGTCGGGAAACATCCGTCTGAAAACTTGACTGGTGTGATCGGCAGCGCTTAGCGGCATGTTGTGTTCGATGAGGAATGCAGTAAACAAACACTCTGCCAAAATGACATCGGCATCCGAATTCGAAAAAAAAAATCATCCACTTTCTTTGACGTTGACGAAGCCAAAGCATTAACTTCATGCTTTTTAGACTAAACATGCTTCACAATGTCGCTTCTTCTTCCCTTCTTCGACCGTGACTTATTATGAAGTCACACACGCACACGTTGCAAAATGCATAGTTATTTCCTTTGAAGGATTCTTTAATTGTTGGAAATTCGGCTTTGTAGGCAGGCCGAAAATATTGAGAATACGGTTTTTTTTTAACTCATTTCGTAACAACGACGTATTAAGAAAATTCGTAGCACGTGCAAAAAAAAAAAAAAAAAAAAAAAAAAAAAAAGAATGCGACAATCCACGCTAAAAAAATAATCTGGCGCCCACAAAGAAAAGAGTGGGAGAAACAAGTTCAGCGCATTGGATTGGCTGGTTAAGCGGCGAGTTGGGAGAAACCGCAGGTTACTGGATTCGAAGTAGTCGGTAAAACATGATGCAATTGCCGAAAAATTCTAAAATTTTGACAAAAATCACTAAAAACACTTGAAAAAGGAAAAAAATCGTAAAAAATGGATTACGATCGTAAAATCGTAAAGACAAATGCATTTTCGTAAAAATTACGAAAAATTCTTAAAAGTTGGCAGGTATGGGTTGGCACAAGTTTGACAGGATTTTATAACCAGTTATATGATTTTTATTTTCATATGAAAAATGGGTACTTACGTATTATTGAAACCAGGTCCAAATTCACATAAATTGCGAAATTTTGCAACCCTACGCGTTATACAGTCAAAAGTCGTTACTTCAGACACCCATAATCCGGACCTCAAAGCTACAAACTTTCTGCGCATGCGTCGCGTTTACGCAAGACATTTACGGCTGCAAATATGCATGTGCATAATACGTTTACTCATGTACGTTTAATGTATAACGGACAGTATAAGCTAAGCTAAAATTATCTAATTCAGTTAATGTTGCAGATTGCGTTGTTCCTTAATCTTCGAATTGGATCCAGCTTATTATTTTTTGCAGACTGTTAGAGCAATTTTATAAAAGCAAGCTTGAACTTTCGATTATTTCAAATAGAATTTCCGATATATATTTACTAATATGTAAAGGATCTACAAAGTAAAAGTATGTTTCAAAGTCCATTAAACAAAAAATGGATAAAGCTTTGTTTCTTAACCATTCCAAAATCTGTTTATCAATTTCACGCTGCTCTGCGGTGGGGGACGCTGCGGCGTGCAATGAATTGGAAGTTGATCTGTCAGCACTATCCTTATCTTCAGGGCAGATGTTTTTATTTTATTTGGTTTATAATTGCTTACTAAATGTGGTATTTCATCTCGATGTACTCCGTCTTTGATATGATTTAAATAAAGTTCCTCGTCATTACAATTCGCTTCCGATAGTGAAGAAAGTGACAGAGGTTATTGAAAACGAAAAAATTTCTATTGACAAATTAGTCGGTATTCTCAACACAGCAATTATAGGACTTGAACAGCAGAACTTTTTAACTGAACAAGAAATTATCTCTGCTTATAGAATTAAAGAGAAAGTATCACATAAAGAATGAAGCAACTTAAAACAACTACATTGAAAGAAATGTTTAATAAAGTAAACAAATAAAATATTAAGCTTTTTTTTGTAAATTTTGATACCCTTTAGATCATAATTGTTCTTTATTTCATAAATTACGGTTTCATATTTTTAATTTTGTAATTTCTGCATGCCATCTTACCAGATTTAAACTGATGATCTATAATCCGGAATCGCCGAAGATGTCCCGATGAGTCCGGATTAACGACTTTTGACTGTTCTTAGTTTTGTAAAAAGAGCATGTGGAGATTCACAAAAGTTTCCTGCAAATTTTTGTAATTTATGAGAAAATAGCAGAGTACATGGGTAAAGTGAAGAGTGTGCGCAATGGCATTTTTGTGCAATTCTGGGATTTTTTTTAAGTAAAAATAAGTCGACGTGTACATGGTTATGGTGAATACGGTTTTTAATCAGTGCTAAAAGCAATAGCCAAAAGATTTCCGCCAAAAAAAATAATTCTGCAACTTATTCAAATTCGAAACCGGAAGGTTTAATTGCTATTTTAATATTTTAAAAGAAAATAATATAAAAAACTGTATTAAAAATTATCTGTAATTAATAAATGTACATTTTCTTTCTATTCATACTTTTTTACTCAAACTTCCAAATAGCGTCAACCTGGTTGCGATAATATGCAAGAACCGAAAAATGTCAATTTTTATGTATGTATCTAAGACTTCGTATTTCCCTGACCTTTCAAGAACAGTTGAGCTTCTGCTGTATTATTATTACATTATAGACATTAAAATTAATTACTGTACAATTTACAAATCAAAAACTGTCCAGAAAAATTCATCTTAGAGCACAAAATATTTGATTTTCCAAGAAGGAAAGACTAATTTTTTAAGTAATAAAACAACTGATAACAGTGACTTATAAAGATCAAGCTTTGACCTTCTGAAATCAAATCACTTTTGTCACAATCAGTGCATGGCCATGGTTGAAGTGAAACTCTCTTTTCAATGCAATCAAGACAGCACTGTTGTCGATAGTACTTATTTTGAGAGGTTGGATAACAAACAATCAAGCACCCTAACTCATTTAATTTCGATTCTATGCCAACATGGCATAACTTGCTTTGGAGGGGGGAAAAAAAGCCTTGATTAATTAAGGCCCCTCTCAAACTAAAGAATATTGTGCTAAAAGAAACTAAAATTTATTGTGCAGTATCTTTGGACTTAAAATACCTTCAAGATAATTTGTATGTTGCTTTTGCTATGGACAGAAAAGGAAAATGTAGACTTTAACATATTAAGAGATCTCCATGCAAGCTTCACTCTTTAGATGCCTTATGCCTTGCACTGTGTTTAACGTTCTCAGTTGTTTGAAGTGGTAACTACTGATTGTGCTCTGTTATATTGAGAAGAGCTGTACAAGTAGTTTGGTAGAAAGTTAGAGAACTGTAAAGTGTATTCAATGTCCATATGATGCAAAATTTTAAAATTAGCAAAATAAATTTCACTGCATATAAAATGAAGCTAAGTAAAACAAGCAGATGATACAATGGCAAATGTAAAAATTTACTCTTATCAAAGGAAGGGGCAAGTCTTAACTTTTGATTGACATTCCTTGTAAATAAAAAAATAGCTTTCCATGTATTAGGCATTATTAATAAAAGTGATAATAAAGGAATTCCTCATGAATGGTCCTCAGTAAAAGTTTATTTGGAAATTTTAAGGTCAAAATAGCTGTTACAATTATGCCATTATTATTGCTTATAACAAATATGCCAAATTTCAAACCCCGCCATTACATAATTTCATAATTCAAAATTTTTGAAAAATTTATATAAGGCCATAGAAAGCATCAGTTTTCAATTTAGATACTATTTGCACTGCATACATTTTTAGTAGTTGAAGTGGTTACCACTGACTGTGCTGTTATACTGAGAGCAGCTGTATTAGTAATTTTGTAGAATGTTCCAAAACTGTAAACATATTTTTTGCAGAAAATTAATTCTATCACGCTATCATCAGTTCTGCATTACTAATGATATAACCCTCATGTTCTGCAAGGGTGTACTGTAAATTTAAATATATAATTACTTTGTTGAAATCCGACTGGTATTTATGTGAAATACATATCATTCTCTCTCCTTTAAAATTTATGTACCAACTGTTTTCTTCAAAATCCTACATTTTATGAAAACACTGATTCTCCTTACATCAGTAAAAAGAGAATATTTTGGGTGGGTGTGAGAACATCCTCAATATTTTACAAAGTTTTCAACAAAACATGATAATTTAAATGTTAATTTTGGTGTAAATACTTAAAAAATCTTTAAGAATTTCTGAATAAACATAGACTAATAGTCATTTTTAGTTATCCTGTAAATACTTAAAAAATCCTTTATAATTTTTGAGTAAACATAGAATATTAGTCATTTTTAGTTATAATCCTTAATAAAATTATACTCCGATACAAACTTCATATGAATTTATAATCTTTCAAAAATGTTTTTATATAAAGGAGACAAAATTGATCTCTAAGAGACAGCTGTTCATAAAAGTCATTTTACTGAACATTTACAAATAAAATGCATTTATAATATTATTCAAATTCATAATTACCATAGCCAGTGTCATTTCTCAAACTACCACTTGTCATGGAGCCACCTTGCATTCCATTTCTGTAATTATCTGACATTCCAAAACCTCTGTCATCCATTCTTCTGTCAGCTCCACTAAATCTTTCAGAAGAAACAAAAGGTCTTTCAGGATCTGAGCCACCAAATGATCTACCAGCTACACCACCTCCAAAACTTCTATCAGCTCCGCTACCTCCAAAACCTCTTTCTCCAGAACCGCTGAAACTTCTATCAACAGCAGAACCACTTCCAAAGCCTCTTTCAGCAGCAGCTCCTCCAAAGCCTCTGTCTCCTGCCCTACTTGCAAAGCCTCTGTCTGGGCCAACTCCAAATCCTCTTTCACTGCTGCTTCCAAAGCCTCTTTCAGTAGCACCACCAAAACCTTGATCAGCACCAAATCCTCTTTCAACAGCAGGTGGAGTAAAAGGCTTATCAGAACCAAAACCAAAGTCTCTATCTGCTGTTCCTGTGCCAAATCCTCTTGATGGTCCCCCACCAGGAGCACCACCACTATAGCCTCCAGAACCAAGACCAAAACCTCTTTCAGGCCCACCACCAAATCCTCTTGTAGATCCTGCTCCAGGTCCAAAACCTCGTTCTGTTCCCATTCCAGGACCAAAGCCCCTGTCAGGTCCCAAATTTGGTCCTCCAAATCCACCATCAGATTCATTCATAAAAGGACGCCCACCTCCACGACCAAACTGTCCAGGTCCTCCTCCAAAGGGGCCCATGCTTTCTCTTCTGAAATCTGGTTCGGATTGTAAAAACAGCTCTATGTAACGATGCTCTGAAAAACAAAACAACAAATATATATATATATAAAATATTCTAGCTGAAAATGTTATTTCACAAAACAAATCAACAGTGAATTAATAATTTATTCTGGTCTTACGTATTTTTTCTTTATCTTTTTTCATAGCTCTTACAGCTTCTTCATGGGTTGCAAACATTGCATCTGCTTCACCAGATGATCGACCACTTGGTTCATATTTGATTCTCACAGCAACTGGTTTTACTGGAGCGAAAAACTAGAAATACATTTAAAATGTTTTAAATAAAAATAAAAAAAACAGGTTTTTATGTACAAGACAAAAAATATTTTATTAAGGGGGAAAAACATAGAGGAATGCAATTTTAGAAAATTCGCACCTTACAATCATATAACAAAATGGACAAAGAAACTACATACAGTATCAATTGAAACCAAAGATAAGACCTTCGCTTATCAGGAAAGTAAAAAATATGCACTCAACCACCCAGGGTTAAATTTACCTGAACATTATTCTTGTAATAAGGATGGACTGAAAATAAGAATTTAGCTTTTGAAGAATCAATTTATAACAAACCTTATAACTGATATGTCAGTTTAGTTAGTTTTGCTTTTGCACATGTCGAACATTCAACACTATACGTGCATTTGTTAAGTTTAATGCCGTCTGCTAGATTATTTTTTTGAAGTGTTTTTATCGCATCTATATTTCTGTGGCCTAACATTTGATGCCATTTTATAGTATGAAGTTTGTATTAAAACATGCATACTTGCCAACCTATGACACTCAAAAATCAGGAGATTTTTCACAATGTTAAAAAGACTTTTTAAATGATAAAAATATAGATTTTAATAATGAATTAACTTTAAATAGTAACTAACTCTTAAATGCAAGCAACAAAAAAAAAAAAAAAACTTACACATAAAAAACATTTTTATTACTTGCATCGTTTACGGGAAAAAAAAAAAAAAAAAAAGACATTTTAGTTTTCGTACAAATGTTATAAACAGTGGCAGATTTTGCTTTCTTTAAGAAAGAAACTTCATAATTTTGTTCACAGCAATTGCCACGTAGGCCTGTTTTCGCTAATAAAAGTTTTTCGAATGTGTCATCACTAATATTAGATCTAAATTTAGCCCTCGTTCTCGCAACAACACCGAGAATCCTCTCACACTCTGCATTACTATAGAGAACTGTCAAGATGGTAACACAAATCTAGACAGTTCACTATATTTTACAGTTCCATCAGCACCTTTCACTTTTCCAATTAAACTCCACTGGGTGTCAATCCTAGCTGATTTTATAACTTCATCCAAGTTTTCTAATTGTAAACTGCTGTTATGCAGCTGTTACAATTAGAAAACTTGAATGAAGACTGGATGGATTGGTTTCAATTTTTCCTTCCTTTTAGAACTCCTTTCAAGATAATAATAAATATCAAGGATGTGTTCATCCACATTTATTGGTAAAGAAGCTGCCCTTTTTCAGCTGCTAAATTTAAGAGGTGACAGGTGCACCTCATAATCTGAATTTTCCTTTTCTTAAGATACCTGCAACACCAGTCTTCCAAGCCTACCATACTGGTGCATTATTGGCACCAAGTGCTAAGCAATTATCCAGAGGGCCTGCATTTTCTTTTAAAATTTTAATAATTAGCTGTGATATATTAAAGCTTGTCAAATGTCCTTCTAAAGTAGGAACATAAAGTAAACTGCACTCAATTTCTGAAGACTCTGGATCAAAAAAAGAAACAATTGGATACAGTTTTGAATCGGTATTATTACTTCCATCCGTAGAGAGGCAGAAAGGAGCTGTTTTAATGCTATCAATAACTGAAGATTTATTTTTCAAACCCATTTCTTTAACAATTGATCCTGTTTTGATTCTTGCACCTAGAGTATTTTTTAGCGATTTCACTATCGGGAAACATTTTTCTAAATAAAGCTGCAGCGTGACCCCTGATGCATTCAGTGGCAGGGTGTGCTCCAGTAAAAAGGCAGAGACAAGACATTCTGCATTAATAACTTTTTGGTCCTTTGTTTCCGAAGAAAATTTTAATTTTCCGTTTTTTTAAAAACAACTCGTGTTATCCTTGTGTTTTTGCGTACGCACAGGTTTTAGAACATCCGCCCTTCCACCATGCGAAATCGAAAAATCGCGACGACGGGCGGTACACATCGCAAATTTATTACATTTCTTTGAGGAAATAATGGAATGAAAGTCAACTGTGTACGATTTTTGAAACGTTCACGAGTATTTCACTTTCTCGCAGACATAACAAAAGATGATAATTTCTAAAACTATTTCTCTAAGGCACGTGTACTCACAACTCTGGACAAAATGAAAGAAATAACTAAAGCACGTCCAAATAACAACTTACTTTGTCCTCATTGGCTAATACATGCCAGCTGACACGCAGTGGAGCTCGAAGCCCATTGGAGAACGACGTTTCTGGATACGTATAATGCTCTCACTCACAAAGCAGAAGCTATCTGATTAGCAAGGTTTTGTTTTAGATATAATGTAGAATAATTCAATTGCTTTCAGACATCCAAAAGCACTTTGTTTTTATTCATATAACAAAGTATTAAGCCAAGTTGCATAAAAGTCGTGAGAAATTTTAAGAATAAGAAAAAGTCGGGAGAAATATATTGTAAATCGGGTTGGCGGGAGAGCGGTCGAAAAGCGGGAGTCTCCCGCTTAAATCGGGAGAGTTGGCAACTCTGAACATGCAATACCACTACCTAAATAAGTTTCTCATTGACTGGGCTTGTGGTCAATTTATATAACCCTTGCTATGCATTGTCATGGGCTATATTACATTACTTTGTTTAATACATTATTTTGTTTAATGGTACATATATTACAATCAAATGTAAACATTATAACCTTTGTTCATACATTATAACATTAAAACCTTTGTACATATACGATTAAACATAAAGTAAATTACTACCTAAATCTGGTTACATAAGTTTTTTAATTTTATTTGTGTTAACTGACCATTTAAATTTAGAATTTTAATACAGCCTTCACCAAAACCACACAAATTTAATTTAGCACTATTTGCTACAGTTACTTTTGTTTATTTGAACCATTTAAATGAGAAGGGGGGAAGCTCTTATGTGAAAATTTTATATAGATAATTTGATTATTGAGAAACTTGTAACCTGTCACCGACTGTAAAAAATTTGTGAAAGAGTTCATCTGTTTTTGAGAACCTTTAGAGTTATGCGAGATACATACATGTGCACACACATACATCGAAGACAAAAAGCTGTTCTGAATCCATTTTACAATTTGCTTTAGAAAAAAAGCCTTTATTTTGTCAGATTTCATGTAAGAACATCGTTCAAATGAATTCAAGTGTGGTAAAAATGAATATTTTCGTTGCAATATGATACCTGGAAGTTGTGATTACAACACTTCAAAACAAATCTTGAAAAGTCAGAAGTGCATTTTAAGGGCATTAGTTATGAAACTCGTAAATGAGCTCAAAACAGAAATTGTTAACATGAAAGGAAAAAGGAATTAAAGAAACTTGTGCAGCTGAGTAGTTGAGTATCTCAAGCTAATAAAGATATTAAGAATTTAATTGGTATGTTGAGAAATACATATTAGAGAAGAGTAAAAAGATCAAATTACAGTTCAGAAATTTTGCGTGAAAACATTCAGATTCCATGATACATTCTACTTCATGCAGTCCTGTCAATGGATTAGACATACATTCATAGATGTGGTAAGATGGATGAAGATCTCAAGGAAAGTCTAGTATGGAATCATAGAGGAAATTTTTTTAAAACTGTTCCTAAGGAAGTTGAAATAAGATCAGAGAAAAATAACAGCTTAAAACGATAAAGTTCAATCTGTGAACAACTGGCTACTGCCAACATGAATTTGAACTTAGGTGGATGAAGTTATTTTTAGTTTAAAATACATGTAATTTATGACATTAATTCTTAAATGATATTAGAAAGAATGCTGTTACAAAACATTTATGTTTTGCAACAACATTCAACAAAATATTTATCCATCATTTTAATTTGAAGCCTTCTCAAACATTTTGGCTAGTTTATATCGATTTTCTTAACTTTAGCATCTTTTGTAACAATTAGAGATTTGTCTTAATATGCAAACCAATGCCCTCGCTAGTTTCTACATGCGTTATCTCCTAAGTTGTCAACCTCTCCATAATGTACCTATGAGGGTTTACTTTATCTGGTAAAACCTTGATCAGCACCAAAACCAAAGTCTCTATCTGCTGTTCCTGTGCCAAATCCTCTTGATGGTCTGCCACTATAGCCTCCAGAGGCAAGACCAAAACCTCTTTCAGGCCCATCACCACATCCTCTTGTAGATCCTGTCCCGTCCAACCCCCCCGACAGACGTGAAACATTTTATCACTATGTCTGAAAGTAACTACAATATCATACAAAGGTTTAAATAAGAGGCTTATTTAAAAAGAACTTAGAACATAAAGGCATGTTCTGATGCTAACAAAATCAATTACAGCTCACGGTGACATAATTAAACAAGAACAGTTAAATTCAAACTAAAAAGCTAGAGTAGTGGTCAAAGACTATACAATTTAATTTAAATTTAATCTGGCTAAGTAACTCTATCATATATGAAAATAGAAACGGGAAATTATAGTAAAGGCTGAGGTCATAAACAATTGCGTAATTTACATAATAATAATAACTGCACATATCTTTGAAAAATAATTTTCTTTATGTGTTCAGTTTTTTCCTTCAACACGTTTCCTTTTCATTTTAGAATTTTTGGATTTAATTAAGGATTTTTGTTATTCTAAAAAACACTAAATGCATTTAGAACGTATACAAAAAGCAGCCAATTTTATTTCTTTAGTAATATGAACATTCAGAAGATATATGAAATATATATGGTAAAGGCTGATGACAGAGCTGATGTGGCAGAATTTTTAGAGTTTAGTGATACACCAAACAACAAAATCTAGAAATGGCACAACTTTTAGAATTTAGAGTAGCATTGGAAGCAGAATTTAGGATGCACAGAGATTGCATCAGGTGGGAAAATGCCTAGTGCCAGTGCTGTATATGATGCATTAAGACATATTAGATGAATCTTTTAAATTGTAAGTTTTCAATTTCTTTAATTAAAAAAAACCTTTCTATAATGCCTGCCCATGTGATAAGATTAGAAGCATTTTTGATAGTTTCCACGCTTGTGTCTATTGAAAAGTAGAGAAAATAAAGGGAAGATAAGCACATTAAGAAAAAAATTCTAGTATCAGAAGTCAAATATTATGTTTTCATTGTTCTTCCGGATATTCTCCAAAAAGTAAGAAATTTATTGCAAACTTTCTGTAAAATTCATCCATTACGTATTTTACAGTTTCCATGGTATCGGAAACATTTCAAATCTTGTCACATATTTCTAGAATCTTCTAGAATTGTGGGTCTATGTATGTATGTCATAATAAAAAGCACAGGAAAAGCCGGAGCAGTGTCGATGCTTGCTTAGATCCATATTGAAGAAGATTTTGATTGCGCAGTATGCTAGTAATGCTAACTTGGTAATATCTAAAGAACTTGGCAGTTGAAGCGATTTTAATTCCATTTTTATTTCCAATTGATATTTGTGGCCACAATCACTTTGGCACTCTAGTCGTGCCTTTCCACAGAGGATTTACATTTTTGATATTGCTGAGATAGAAAGCAAGCCAGCGAAATTACATCTTAGCAGAGTAGAGGGCATAGAAGCTGAGTGGCGTAGTTATGAAAGATGAAAGCACGCGAAGAGAAAAGTTTCGGTTTACAATTCGGTGATTGGTCGTCAAGAGGCATCTGGTATTAACGGTTACGTAAGATCGCATGATTAATTTGAATGACGCAATGCAGATAAGTTATTACGATTTTAGAATAGAGAGGAAGAATTAATCTTTATAGTTATATTATAATTCTGATTTATACATTTTTATCTTACATGTAAGTATGTGGGAATTGTGGTATATCGTGCCTTCAAATCCTTCCAAGCTGCAATGTCTAAAATCCTAAAGAAAAATTACTCTTACGAATTCTATAACAGCAAAATGCCAGAAATATTTTGAGAGAGGGGAAAAAAAAAAAAAAAAAAAAAAAAAAAGTGGGGGGGGGGGAGGTAAAATTAATTTCAGAAAGACAACTGATGCATATTCTGAGACAATAACATGGGAAAAACTCTTAACATAACAAAATTTAAAAAGAAGATATTTAATGTTATTTCTTAAGTATAATTATAATAAATTACGTTTATTTTAATGAAACTCATCAAAGTTATGATGTTTTAAGAAAAATTGTTGAAAAATTCCCACATTTCGGAATTAAAAAATTTTCTATAGAAACTGATCTTAAAATTGACAAATTTAGAACCCGTGTAATAAAAGAATTCACATCCTCAAAAGCAAAAAATTGTTTAAAAGCTCTTCATTGGACAAAATGAATTTCGAAATGCTTATGTTTCACTTCTTGCTTAGAAACTCGATTATCCCATCATTTATATTAGAAATAGAAACAAATTATTAACCCATGAACCCATTCAATAACAACCATATATGTCAGTGAATTGCCAAAAATATTCCTCCAATTCACACTCAAAATGGCAGTCGTAAAAACAGACAGAAATTTCAGATGATTAAAATTAAGAACCAAAAATAGATTCCAAAATATCTAAGGACTCTTAAGGACCGTACGAGCCTTGTATTTAGTGCCGAAGTCAAATTAAGAATCGGAACCATCCACGTTTTATTACGAGGGAAAAATTAAACTTGCATGCATACAGCACACACACACAAAATATATTAAAATAAAACAAATTAAGCTGGTAGTGAAGTCCGGATTTTAGATCATTCTGGATATTGGACGTTTGAATCTCTGACTTGGTACTGTAATTAACTAATAATAAATATATTTAGAAGGAAGAAGCCACATTAAATGATACGAATAACATTAATACGTATAGATTAAAAACTGAATTACAATAATCAACAATATTTTGTTGAATATAATTATATTAAATGGTTAGCCTAGATGACCGATTACTATATACATCTTTTATTTTACTGAAAAATGACAAAGGCATTTATACATATATAAAGTAAAAAAAAAATATTAGTGGTGAAATTCTAGTATATGGTACAGACTTGGGAGGATTTTGAAAATTGTCACCAATACCAAAATGACCAATTTACTGCTCATCATCATGTCGCCAAACCCCACGTGTACCATAATACTAGGATTAAGCTACTTTTGTTTTATACGAGAGTGGAAAGGCATTTTCTTTCATTCAATACGCAATGTACATACACATGTGAATCTCTGGATTCTAGAGGTTACTAAAAACAAAAAGTTGCTGGAAACTTGCTTTGCATTTCTAAAAAAGAACCTAATTGAAGCTGCATAAATTGGATCTACACCAGCTGCCCGAATGACGCTCATGCGATACATAATTTTTCCAAGAAAGTGATTGTTTCCAACATTGTCGTAAAAATCAATTTTTGGTGGTGGTGGTGGTAGGGAATCACCAACTAAATTATTTAAATTCCCTGACTTTATTCACTTTCGCAAGCACCGCGACAACCCTATTTGAAGAAAAAAATTTTCTCTCTTCATTGAGTTTCTTCTTCATTTTAGAATTTTCAGATTTAATTAAGCTTTCTGTTATTCTAAAGAGCTGCTTGTACTTAGAATATATAGCAAAAGCTGCTAATTCAATTTCCTTAATATGAAATGCTATAAGGTCAAAGCCAGTGCGACAAAATTTTCAGAATTTAGGCGGGCACTGAAGTACATATGATGCACTGAGGTGCAAAATATGTTTTAATAACTTGTCGGCTTTCAATTTCCTGTGTCTAGTTGCGAGATTAAAATAAACAAGCTAGGAGAAAGTTTTCTGGGATGAAAAATTCAAATGATTTTTTCCACTATTTTCCCAAAAATTCTCTAAAGGATAAGAAATTAATTACAAATTTCCTGTCAAACTTGCCCATTATGTAGTAATACAATGAAGATGTGTTTCATTTCGTCACATTTTTCTGGGAATTGAAGATCTATACACCTTGCCTTCGAGGTGCAAGGTCTAAAATCCGAAAGCAAAATTATCTCTACAAACTCAGCAAAAGCAAAAAAGACAGAAAAAAAAAAAAAAAAAAAACAACACTAATTACATTAATACTAATTATGGGGGAAATATTATTTACTTCAAATATATCTCTTTCCACAGCTCTGAAGGGCAATCCTCGCATATGGATATTGTGTCCAGTATCACGAATTCTTTCATTGAATCCACCTCCTCTTTCTCCAAAACTGGGAGTAACTGGGCCTCCTCTTCCTCGTGCTATATAGAAATATGATGAAATATACAACTTATCACCAAATACTGAACAAGAGCAAAATATCAATATTTCTGCATTATATATAATGAAATACCTCCACGAGCTCCGCGTCCAAATGCAGAAGGTCTATCATAGGGACTCATTCGGTTGGAACTCATGGTTCTCATTCGCACAGGACCCATGCCCATTGCTGAACGTATTTCTTGTAGACTGCTTTTAAAGATTTCAATATATCTGTAAGAGAAAGTCATTTGAAGCAGTGTAAATAGTTTTATAAAAAAGACGGAAATACAAAATTACGTTGCTTCATAAGTTACCTATCAAAAACATTAAAAATTAAGTTTTTAAAAGAAGAACTTAATTCTCATTGAAAATTATGTAAAACAGAAGTGTGTTATACTTGAGTTGATTTACATATTGAGATTACAAATACATTCATTACATCCTACTGAACTTGCAACACTAATAAAACCCTGAAGGCTATAGATATAAATTTATTTGGAAAGAAAGTCCATTTACTCATAAGAATAATATACTGGGTTATATATTTACGTTACCAGAGAAATCAACATTCTCAGAAATTCTCATCCCTCTTCAGAAACTGAATCTATAACATATTTTTTATAATACTTAACACAGTGAAATAAAAATCAAGTAACAACAAATAATTCTTAGTTATCCATCCACATTCAAGAGAAGCTAAACAGATGCAAATTATAAATTATTCTGATGGAAAAACTGTAATCTGATTTCAGAGAAAGCAAACTTTTGATAGGTCCATGAATTAAAAGAGAATTCTTCATACTTTTAAATTGATGGCTAACTTGAATAACGAGGACCATCTGCACTACTTTTTTTTTGTACAGAAGATAATTCAATTACAGTTCTTGAGTCACCATTTACTGCATTCACTTATGTATATCAATTCTAGGCCAGATGTGCCCAAAAGTACAAGGAATTAGAAGGAACATTCAATAAATATTTTACAAACTGTTGTCGGCCAACAAGACATAGCCATGGGCTGCTTTAAAAGGCATCAGCCTTTTAAAGCTGTTTTGGAGAAAGAGGAGGTGGATTTGTGTGTAAAGGCACTGATCACCAAGGCCACACCAGGGCAGGGAGGAAATAGTCACAATACTAAAGGAAGTTCTATTAAAGAAGCAACATATATGGTGCACTTTTTATGTTGCCAATTCATTCCCACAGACAAAGAAGAAGTGAATAAGACCACTGCATCATACTGTGTTTAAATGAAGCAGTTCCAGGCAACATTACATCAATTTTCTCAAAGTGCTCAACTTACTGAGATAGTGTATTGTTTTCATTACAATGCAATTACTTATTTTATGGAATTTTGATGGTAAGTTCAATAGCCTCCTTCTAAATGCAGTTGAATTTTATTTGTGCAGTCCTACCACAGCTCATCTTGGAGATAAAACATTTTATGTACAATGCGGACACTGAAGAAGAAAACTATACATGCCAACCTAACACTCAGATTCAAGACATATTAGGATCCGCAGACACTAATGGGATTAGAATCCCAATAAAAGTAGTAATCATATAGAAAAATAAAACTGGTTGATGTGCAAATAAATATTTTTTTTTGAGCATCTTCATTTTTGCAACCTATTTATTGACTAGCTCACATAATACCCAATATCAAGATTATTACATGCCCATCTGATATGTATAATTTTATTCATAATAAAACTGAACGAATAATGAACACTTAATAGATTTCTAGTTTAATGAACCTATAAAGCCTCTATAAACATTCTATTAACAGAAAAAGCAAGATACCAAGGAGGAATTATCTGAATGGGACAAAAATTGTGTATGCCCATAGCATATGATAAAATATGCAAAAGAATAACTTTAAGCAGCCAATGACAGATTAGCTGGAGCTCCAGCACACTGCAATGGAGCATCCAGATGGTGTATAAAATGGAAGACATTCTAATGCTAAGGCATAACTTAAATGCCAATGTAGTTCTGTCAATCCACATGGACTGTACCAATGTCTCACAGATGGATTGGTGGCCAATGTGCAATCGGACTAAAGGAAGCAGAGTGGCCAAATCACAGCAATGCTAGACATTTGGCACAGTGATGCTACCATTCGATATCGTTGGTAGTAATGGGTGAATAGAGCATCATGAAGGTAGTGGTTCACCGGAAGCAGCGACAGAATCCAAGGATAGAGTGATTGTCCAATTGCCACTCAGCCCTTGAAGTGTCTTCATCAAGGATCTGACATGTAATTAGGACACCAGTGACTGCAATGACCATCAGCAGGCGACTGGGTGAATGGAGGATGAGGCCCAAGAGTCCATTATGCCAACTGCCTTTCACTGTGGCACAGCGCTTGGAACATGAAAGCTGGTGATGGGCACATTCGACCTGAGATCTCATGGATTTGAGCAGAATTGTTTTTAGCAAAAGTCCCATGGACCAGCGAAGACACTTCTGGGACATCCAAGAAAACGGTGGAATACTCACATGACTGCTTTCCATCAGACAGTCTAAAAAACATCATTATAAGACTGTGTGAGTTATGATACAGGATGCTATTTCATTTGATAGCCAGACACCTATGGTTGTCTGTGATGCCTTTTGTAACATGGAGGGACGTAGATGAGATTTTACACCCTGTAGTGTTGCTTTTCCTTAACGCATCACTAGGCTTCCATTTCCAACAGGATAATGCCTGATTTCACATGACATGCCATCATGCTTTGTCAACACTTCTCTGACTAATGCAATTGCCAGATTTCTCCCCAACAGATCACCTTTGGGCTCTGACAAAAAGAAAGGCACAGCCATCTTTGACTTTGCCTGTGTCGTACAGATCTAACTTGCTAATAAGAATGAGTATGGCAAGCAATCTTGCAGAAGGATATCCACCAATTCTATGAGTTAATGCCCACCTTGACATCACCAGAGGTGGGCCAAGGCATTATTGATCCCCCCTCTCGTACTGATGCTCCTCAACATATCAACTGAATTTTACCCTGATAAGATAACTCCTTCATGTGTTGCTTTTTTTGTTATAGAATGTATTAAGACAATGAAAATTATAAATATAAAACAAATGAGTTTGACACCCCTGTACCAGATACTTTAAGTAATCCAGCGGTTTTATATTTAAAGGCACATTATCAAGAGCTGTTGGGTAATGATAAATATTTAAATGAAACTATTCATGAAGGAATTTTAAGTAACACACAAGATGATATAGGCGTATCCACTTAAGAAGCACTGGTTCAGACTACAAACAATTTAAACTACATAGTGTATATTTTTTATATCACAGTATTGTTAAGTAAAAACTTACAAGAAAAAAAGTACAAATTAATATCATCTCAGTAAAAACCAACAGCTATCCATTTAAATTTCGTTAAGAAACTTATGCACATTCGTTATAAACAAAATCAAATGAATTTATTTTATCACAAGTATGCACATAATGCAATATTCCCTTTTTCTTAAATTATTCACTTAGAAAACACTACAGAAAATAATCTATAACTTTGCACATGCATAACATTGTATAGTTATGCTCTACTAATGTGCAAATGATACCAATAAATAATTGAAAAACTAGAGGGAAGGTCAACAAATTCATTCTTTTCCTAGCTTAGATCAGTACTTTTAAGTATGAATTAACAAGACAAATTATAAAGATTTTCATAAAAGCTTTTAAATTTTACAAAAGATAGCTGGATGTTGAAAAATGACACACAGACTGCTTATTCAAGCAGTATTATTTCGTTCCAGGTATAACTTTTTTAATTAAAAGACTGAAATGCAAGAAAGCCTTTTTAGCATATTCCATAATTCGCAAGCATTCCGTATATATGAAACATTTAAGTATGAATATTTTAGTTCTTTTTTGTTAATGAGGTGCTACCTAATGTCAAACATAAGTGCTGGCACAAGATTGAACTACATAGCAACCCTAATGATATATGCAGCTTCATGCACAAAATGCCTATTTAATCAAATCCAAAATAAGTGCAGAATGTAAGGGGAAAAAAAAAAAAAAATTTAATCAGATATAATCATTATTACACGAGTTGCATAAATCTGCTTTCATTTGACACTGGTAAAAGCACTTGCATCTTCTCATGCATTTGATTGCTCATGAATTCAATCAAGTAGGGATCTATACAGTATCAGGCAGTATAGCACTGATGCCTATTTTGCCCTACTTTACAATCTTTAAACAGTTTCTCTCCCCCCCCAGCCGGGGGAAAAAGGCAGGATTCAGGGTTTGTACACATTTGTGCATGTGGAAATACTTTTAAGTACCATAAATGAAAAAAATCAAGGAAATAGGAAAGTAATAAAGCAATTATCTAAACTCGAAATTAATTCACTTTTGTAATTTGTAAGAATAAAATAAATCTGTAAGGGAGATGCATTATTATTAAACACAATCTACTATTTAACTTAACAACAAAACAGATTCAAAAATAAAATTAACTTCATAAATTCTTTTAAATAATAGCATTAAATTATAAAATTTCTTGAAACATTTATATTTTACACTTATGTATTTCCCCATATTTTAAAGAAGATTAGCGGCTTTTTATTTATGTTTTACTAACAGTTGGTTTTATATTGATTCATTTATGCCTCTTTTTGTCACATACTCACTCAGTCCAGAGGTATATGCCAATTTTACGGCAAGTGGCATACATTAAATTGCGAAGTAAAATAATAAACAGCATGACTCATAACAGATGTGAACGCCTGCTGTTGGTATGGTTGGTTAGCTGCAATTTGTCTGACCCAGTTAGTGTTATAGTTTCGTGTAGATTTGCTGGAGTTGTAACCCAGTTAATATACATCATTTAACATAGCGAAAGACAGAAAAGGCAAGTGAATTTTCAACAGAAAACTGATATACATTAAAATATTCTGAAGCACTTACATAGGAACAAACTTTTATCATGAAAAACTATAAAAGATGACCAATGAAACTAATTTAAAAATAATTACAGAACTGTTTGGAAACAGCTTTATAGCATTTATTATTTTGTTCATTTTTCAGAATTAAAATATTTGCAAGTTTAAAAAATGGGAAGTAATGTCCTTTTACAATATGGCAGTAGAAAATAATGTTTTATTTTAATGCTACTTCTTAAATATAATACCATTATTTTTATGATATTTATCAATGCAAGATGAGTAACATGTTTTAAAAAAATAGTTAAAATTTTCCAAAT